AGGGCCAATGACAAGCACGCACGGACCCTTGCCCTCCACCAGCTTCAAGTTCCTTCTGCATAAAGCGGCCCGCCCAGCTACCACAACACCACACAGACCGACCTCACTGCACAAAATTACACCATCTTCTCTGCGCTTACCCTCTCGAGGCATCTACTAACTCCTACTGTCTTCAGTAACCCCCGCGCGAACCTCCACTCGCAGACGACTCCACAAGGCGAAACCACTACATTGCGACTCTTCCGAGCCTCAATCAGCCTCTTCACAACGCACACCACCACGAGAAGCCGACACCCGAGTTGCTGCTAAACAGTCAGCACTCCCATCCCGCGCTTACCTAACCCCACCTTCTTCGGCATACCCTATACGAGCCTCCACACCCAAACCCCTCACTTGCATCTGCTCTGCTCTGCCGCAAGCGTTGCACACACACCAATCGCGCCTCTATCCACACTACTAGACCTTGACGTTCCGACCAACAACCCCACCTTCGGTGGACCCACATACACAATGACTTCAGAAATCACCAACCAACTAGCGGCAACGCAGCTAAGGTGAGTCCATGTCAAACGAAGCAAGAGCTACGCGCTGACTTATTCCCAGCGATGCTACACCATCAGGAGAGGCAAACTGGAAAGCCGGTTTGAATGCGCCAGCGAAGGATGCGCGACCGCAGACAGAGGTAGGCTATGGGCTTGGGAATCACATGTATTGGACATGAGCTAATGCTAGAGTAGGATGTTACAGCGACCAAGGGCCTTGAGTTTGAAGACTTCTTCATCAAGCGCGAGCTCATGATGGGCATTTTCGAGGCTGGTTTCGAGAAGCCGTCACCAATTCAAGAAGAGACGATCCCAGTAGCCCTCACCGGCCGAGACATCCTCGCGCGAGCGAAGAACGGTACCGGAAAGACTGCCGCCTTTGTTATCCCTACCCTCGAGCGCATAAACCCGAAGAGCCCCAAGACGCAAGCTCTGATCCTCGTTCCCACCCGAGAACTCGCACTACAAACATCCCAGGTGTGCAAGCAATTGGGACAGCACCTCGGTGTAAACGTCATGGTCTCGACTGGTGGTACAGGATTGAAGGACGATATTATACGGTTGAGCGACCCCGTTCACATCATCGTTGGAACACCTGGTAGGATCCTGGATCTGGCTGGAAAGGGCGTAGCAGATCTGTCCGCCTGTCAAACATTTGTCATGGACGAGGCTGACAAGCTCTTGTCACCTGAGTTTACCCCCGTTGTAGAGCAGCTTCTTGGCTTCCATCCCAAGGACAGGCAAGTCATGCTGTTCAGCGCTACCTTTCCTATCGTAGTCAAGAGCTTCAAGGTACGTTTGACCAGCGTCTCTACGACGACAAGCTTGCTAATACGGTACAGGACAAACACATGAACTCTCCGTACGAAATCAACCTGATGGACGAGCTGACCCTTCGCGGTATCACACAATACTACGCCTTCGTTGAGGAGAAGCAGAAGGTCCACTGTTTGAACACCCTCTTCAACAAGCTGCAGATTAATCAGTCCATCATCTTCTGCAACTCCACAAACCGTGTAGAGCTTCTTGCGAAGAAGATCACCGAACTCGGATACTCCTGCTTCTACTCGCATGCGCGCATGCTCCAGCACAACCGTAACCGCGTCTTCCACGACTTCCGCAATGGTGTATGCCGAAACCTTGTCTGTTCAGATTTGCTCACCCGCGGTATCGATATTCAGGCTGTCAACGTCGTCATCAACTTTGATTTCCCGAAGAACGCCGAGACATATCTGCATAGGATCGGTCGATCTGGTCGTTTCGGACATCTGGGTCTAGCTATCAACCTGATCAACTGGGAAGATCGCTTCAACCTTTACAGGATCGAACAGGAGCTTGGTACCGAAATCCAGCCCATCCCGCAAGTCATCGAGAAGAACCTATACGTTTACGAATCCCCCGAATCAATCCCTCGCCCTATGTCCAGCGCCCAACGTGTTCCTGGTCAAGGTCAAGGTCAGCAACAAGAACAAGACGGTGCTGCGCGCGGTAACCCCAACGCGCGAGGCGGCTTCCGTGGCGGTCGTGGTGGCGGCGGCCAGTTCCAGGGACAGCGCCGAGGTCCTCCACAAAACCAACAGAACCGTCAGCCAAACGGTCAGAACCCTCAGCGAAATCCTAGGCCACAGCCTACAGGTCCACCTCCTGCCTCGTAGAAAAGTCTGGTGGTCCCGATCTCTGCAGTGTCTTGAACCTGACGTCTAGATTACGTCTTCATGTCACGACAATTCTCTGTCAAGAGGCTGCGATATCATTTGGTTGCCTTGCATCCATATGTGTTCATTACATTTCTTTCTTTTTTCATGACTATGCGATCAGTCGCGCCGACGACGCGGTACGGAATATCTGGACTTCTGCTATCAGGTTTAACGAATCGAATCATCGGCGCAATACGGTTCTAACCATCTCGACCTTTCTACATGTACTATATACCAAGGTCTACCAGGGTCGCGTCTAGTTTTTGCTTTGCGTCGGTTGGCTGGTTTCGCCGACTTGCGTTGCTGGAGCCTTTTGCCTCTGCAGCAGAGTGCACTGTCTCCAGTTCTGCGCGCTCTTAGTCTTCAGTTCTCACTTCCATCCTCTTTTCAACAGCATTTGGCGGTTAGGTATAGTCTTTTCAAAAGCCCGGTCCTCCTTGTATAGAGGATCGCGATTGGGTACGATCTTCTTCGGTACGACTATACCCTGTTCACGACGCTACTGGATATGTGTAGCTCCATCGAGCTATTCTACGTCTCCATTGACGGCACTTTATCACTTCCATGTCTGGTTCTTGACAGCAATTACTGTCTATGGCCATACAACTACATTCTCACCCTACTCGATGCGATGCTACACCTTGTCGCATGTCATTACGCTATGGGCTCTAGCGGCCCTCCTCCCTCCCCTAGGGTACCGCACCTACTCGGCGCTACGCTTGAGCTCCTTTTAAGCCTAGTCATCTTGTGCTTTGTACAGCAAGCCCAAGACCAGATCAGACTGGATCTATACTTCCGATGCAGTCACACGAATACCTTAGGATATGCAACAAATCGTCCATGTTTGCGACGATTTGCTGTCGACTCTGCGGGTTTCCTGTGGTGGAAGTATTCCCAACAACAAGAGATAACAAGACACGTTATCGCAACAAGAAAAGAAGAAAAAGCCTTTGAGGACATGATGAAAGGACTTGTGGATGACGGTCACAATTCGCGATGAGTACGGCATTCTTTGCTCTCTCGTCGCCGCAACTACAATACTGATCGCGCGATACTGTTCTGGCATCGTGTTGAAGCTGCGTCAAGATAGCCCCAGATCCTCTCAATGCAAATCTACTCTCCTCAAGCCTTATTTCCCTGATGTGTTGTAGCTTGTCTCCTTCCAGGTAGCAAGCTTGTTTGTTGTAAAGTGAATTCGAGCTATGTGACATACATTGGCTAGGCATATCGGCTTGACAGCAAGCAAATCCGATAGCTGGACTAGATAAAGATCTGGGGTCTCCGTGATATGAGCTCAATCATAACTTCCGCTGACCACCCATTCCTGACTCAACATGGATCGCGAGAAGATTGACACGATTGATCTTATCAAAGGTAACCAACACTCTATACATCTGTCACTTGTCTCCCCTATGGCTAACATCAATAGCAAATGCCCGTCTGCTCTATGGTCGTGACAGCACCTACGAAGTGGTCACTTACCAAGCTGCGGATTATCATAAAGATCCGAAGGATAAATCAGGCGAAGCAGACCAGGTCGGGGCTACAACAGCATTACTTGTCGCCTATGATCTGCCCGCAGAGAGAGACGGCTTCGTACTCATGACGCACACCGTAGGCCAGAAGGACACTCCCATCACCGTTCCTAAGGCCGTCAATGCGTTGGCAAAAGAGCTGAGGCACGAAGTTGCGCGCTACGATCAACGTCTGAAGAAGGGAGTGACATTCACTGGGATGATGATAAAGCCTCCCAGCTAGAAGACCATCGCTTATCTATAGACGGCCTGATTCGGTCACTTGAAGATTTGCCGACGGAAACTAGCTAATTGATACATCGTTTCTAGTGCTCAAACTATTCTGCTCTCGTTCCTAACTCCCTGGTGTCGGTATGTTTTATGTGATTCGATCCCATCCCACCATACGATGTATAGTTGACTACACTTTTGGTTCATTTTTTGTCCAACGCGACCTCAGCATAGATCAGATCTCCTGGCAGTCTGCGTTGCTTTGTAATGTTATTAAGCTTCAATTTTTATACCCATGTAGACGGTGGAACATCCATTGACTTGTTTTTTGGCCTTACCAACCCCACACATGCCCATGTTATGTATTCACGATCCACGAATAGTTTGCTGAACACCAAACGCCGTCTTCCGTTTGTCGTCAGAACGCATATATGGCTGTTTCTTAGACCAACCTACAACTGTTCTCGATAGACTCCACAATGGTCAGCCACTTTGAACGCTGCCACCTACTTTCCCTCATCAAAGACAATGCACGCCTACTATACGGCCCTGGATATACTTACTACATTACTACCTCCCGCGACAGCACTAACACTGCTCAGGCAAAGCTGTTTGGATACAACGTTAACGGAATTGGTGGACAAGTGCTACGTGTCGGGAATGCTGCGAATAGAGATATGGAACAAGCACTGGTGAATCTGCACGTGCAGTTGATGACACAAGTCTCTGTGCTGACTGGTAAGTCGACGAAATGTTGAGCCGCCAGGACATGAAGCTAACGCCATTTCTCTTAGAGCGCTATCCCGAGGGAAGGACGTTCAAGGTTGAGCTCTATGAGCCTCAACTGAAGAAGCCCCCAAGTGCTGGGGAACGATGATTGGGCATGGAAATGATTCGGAGGTGGGACATGATCAGAAGATTATCGTATGGATCGCTTGTAGATATTGTCTCCAACTCTAGTCCGATGCCAAGAGAGCGATCTGGGATAGCTCATTACTCATGCTACCAGCTGTCTCCTAGAAACCCACAGCCACACCAGGCCTTCTCTTCTCAATCCCCAGCACCATATCAACGTACTTCCTGTTTAGACCTTCTTTCTTTCGTGCAGCAAGCAGCGATGCGCTCTTGAGTACGTTCTTGATCTGACGACCATTGAGCTCCACACTTGCCAGTTCCTCAAGATCCTGATCCTTCCATCCCTCCAAGCCACCCAAGCTCTTCAAGAAGTTCTGCCAAATGCTCTTGCGAGAGGAAGAATTGAGATCAGGGTATGCCATACTGATGTGAATACGGGACTGGAAAGCAGCGTCGATGTTGTCAACGCGGTTGGTTGTCAAGAACAACATGCCTTCGTAGTACTCCAACACACGCAGGAAGATGGACACGAGCTTGTTCCGCTCTAGGTCGTGCGTGCTGCGCGCTTCAAGGAAGACGTCGCATTCGTCGAGTAGAAGTACGGCGTTCCATTTGGAGATCATCTCGAGGATATTGGTGAGCTTGCTCTCGACTTGGTCGGGGTCGATGCCCAAGTCGCCTGCTGATATCATGAACAAGGGAGCGCGCATGTGCTCGGCTACAGACTCTGCTGTAAGGGTCTAGAAGGTGTCAGTAACTTGGACCGTTGTGTTTCATTCAAAAAGCGGGGAGCTTTGTGGGGCGGCTTACCTTGCCAACTCCGGGAGGGCCGCTGAGCAGAGTGATGTGGCCACGGCCTTTTCCGCTGATGATGTCGTCGAACTTGCACTGGCTCATGGCTTGCGATTCGGCAAACGCAAGAATGAGCTCCTTCTGGTCTTGAGGGAGAACGAGCGAAGCGAAGGCATTGTCATTGAACTTGATGTCTTCGATGAGATCAAGGTAGAAAAACAGCCACTGCTTCTTCTTGAGCGAGTAGCCCCGGACTCTGGGCAAGCATAGAAGTTGGTGGTCCTCGGTGAGGCGTAGACGTTCTTCCTTGTCTTGCTTACCAAACACGTACTTCATCTCGGTCGGGTCTTGGATTTCGAGCTTCTCAGCGACGGCTTCAGGACCAGAGGCGCATTCTTTTGCGCTGAGAGGGTCGACTCGGTTGATGGAACGGGGAGAGAAGCGCTGGAAGCTGTCCGAGTCGATGATGATACGGCCGGTGCACATGTACGGCGCCTCATTGCCCTCCCTGTCCCATCCAATTGCGAAGCCATCGTATGCCATGTAGTGGCTGCCAGCAAGTGCTTCAAACTTTTTACCACGGCTGATCAGCGCTTCTCTGACTTTGGCTTCATGAGGATGGAATGACAATGGGAAGGCTGTCAAGCCCAGTATGGGAGCAGTGCCATGAAACTCTCGAATTCGAATAGTCTGGGCAGTGCGACCGAAAGTGCTGCCGTTCCAGTCGATGGCCTCAATGTTGATCTGGTACATCCTACCGCACTGGGTGTTGACGTAGGAGCCTGACTTCAATTTGTAGACCCCATACGCTCCGTTGTGAGAGTTGGAGTAGATGAGGGCGCCGGGCTGATACATGATCCAGATATGATCGAATGTTACTATGCCATGGCTGATGTAGTCCTCGAATGTCTTGATGACGTCCTTGAGCTCAGAGGAAAGAACTTCGTAGAGTAGCTCAACGTGTTCAGCAGTTGTGGCATCGAGATCTTTTCTGCTTTTGTACTCAAGTAGCTGAGCCCATCGATGAACAAAAGGAGTGAATGGCGCCTCGAACTCCAGGCGTTTCAATTCGCAATGGATGGCTGGGTAATCCTTCAGAACTTCAGCAAGAGCAGTCTTGAGGCAAGGAGACTGGATAATGATTGAGTGGATCTTGTATTTCCTGCGGGAGTCGTCTGACTTGAGCAGACGAGTGATGAGAGCGTGTTGGGCCGTCTCTTCATTCTCAGCAGGGTCTGCGACATCCTCGGGTTCCTGCTCAGTCCAGCTCCACTGCTTATTCTTGTCCCGCGGGCCTTGATAGAAGTTCTTGAAAGATGCAAGAGAACCTTCTGGCGCGAATTCCGTAGTGCCATTCGTGTCCTTGACACCGTTGGTGGGAGTCTCGCTGGGCATGATGGCGGTCTTCAACGAAGACAAGATCAAGCGCGTAGATGAAGTGAAAAGAAGTATGAGTTACGAGGCTGAAGTTATTGCTTCTGTACTCGACATACCAATAGACATGATGAGAAGTACCTTAACTTTATACACCAAACCGACCTGCAGGCACCAGCTTTACCTGCAAGAATCATGCTGTTCACCCTGTTCAGGCGTTCCAATTCAACGTGAATACAGCAGCGGTTACAGCCTTGACTGTGCCACCCCATGGATGATCGACAATTCTGAGTGGCCATGATAGCGATACTAGGTAACCATGAGGGAGGTGGCGCAAGGCGTACAATGGCTGGACCCGAGCAGCTGTGCCTAGATGTGGCAAAGTGCTGATATCCGGTGAAGTCGCGAGGCATGTCTCAGATGGAGTCATAGGTGACTCAGGCAAGTGCAGTCCTCAAGTCATACCTGCAGCGGATGGGATGCTTGGCGCGGAGAAGATGCGGAGGTCCAGAGACGCGCTAAGACAGCGAGCGCATCGCGCAAGGCCAGGCCATGATTGGAGCCACCTCCCACCATGTCCAAAGAAGATGAGCCTTCATACATCGACTATGAGGCCTTTCTCGATCCAGACTTCTCGGCGACGTCATTCGCCAACACGCTCGTCCTCTCGACCAACAACCCCTCCGACACCCCGCTAGATCTGTCAACACCGCTGTCGCGCGTCCTCTTCGATGTCCAGGAAGTCGACACACATATCGATACCCTGACTACCAAGTCGGCACTGCCGCTGCTGGAACACACGCGAGACCATGCCGAATCGAGCGGACGCATACTGCACGAGGTGGAAGGACAGGTTGCCAGCTTGACCGAGTCGTACAAGACACTAGAGAAGGAGGTCATTGAGCGCTACGAGGTCGCTGAGCAGGTGCGATTGACAGCAGAGAGGCTCTGCGAGACTGTCAAGCTTGGTCGAGCTGTCGCGCGATGTCTCATGCTAGGCAGACAGCTCGAGGTGCGTATGTCGGAGCTGGGCGGTGTCGGCAGCGCAAAGAGGGAGGATCACAGGGCTATGGTACGCTCGGCAGACACAATACTGTCGCTGCGCCAGCTTCTGGCAGCCTCTAAATTGGGCGAGGAGGGTGAGGGCCTGGACAGAGTCAACGTGGTGAACACGCTCAAGAACGAGCTCGTGAACCCAGGCGAGCGCAGCATATCGTCGCGCGCTCAGCAGGTAGTCAAGGAGTTCTCCATGTCCTCGCTACTGTCCTCGTCAGGTCAAACATCGGCATCCACCTTTTCGCAGACCGAAGACACCAAGTCGAGAACCACGTCCGCGCTGCTCACCCTCTACCTCCTCTCGCCGGTATCGACCAAAACCACGACCGACACCTTCGAACCGACCCTCATGCTCAATGCGCTACAGGACTATCTGCAGACCCAGCTGAAGTCATCCCTCGCATCCCTCGCGCGCGCCTTGGGTCAGCTTCCCACATTAGACCGCACCCTCCTCGAGATATCCGCGCGGTGCCAAAACATCGTCGCACTACAATCCCTCCTTGAAAGCATCAAGCCACCCGCGCACCCTCTACTCGACGCCGCGCGTACTCCGAGCTTTTCCAACTTCCTACAACCCCTCCTCCAAGCCCTCGATACATCTTCGCTACCCAGCTACTTCTGGAGGACGCTCGCCTCCAACATGGCGCCGAGAGTGCAGGAGCTCATGAACAAGGGCGGTGTGTCTGCAAGGACGCTGAGGAGTAACAAGACTGCTGTTGGGGACTCGGTGAAGGAATGCGTGAGTCGTGGTAGTCAGCTACCCGGGGCGTTATCGAACAAGGGTGTCGCTGTGACTTGGGAGAGGGAGGCTGCTGTCATGGTTAGGAGTGTGACGGGGCCGATTAAATGAATAGACACATGAATACTATGAGAAACTCCCTAGGCGTAGTATCTGGAGGCATTGACGCATGGGACTCATAGGACATGTTCGTATCATTAACATCACTTATTGTTGTAATCAATTTCACATCACATACGATCGAAAGTAGACTCAACAATGATGATGAAGATAAAACCGGAACTCCATTAGCTAACGCTACCCATGGTCCCAAGAAAGAAAACGAGAACCGTGTCATTCCCCCATGTAATCATAACCATTTTGTACGCATATACCTCAGCATGTATGAAAAGTGATCAAATGCTGAAAGGGGTACTGGTACACGTGAAAGCGCCGACATAACCAAAGAAACTCAGGAAGCGAGTCATTTACAACTCGTCCTTGACGCTCGAGGCAGAGGCCGAAGCCTCAGATGCCGCCGATGAGACAGAGTCGGTGACCTCAGAGGCAGCAGACTTGACAGACTTGGTAGCCTCAGAGGCGGCTGAGGAGGCTGAGTCGGAAGCGACAGAAGCGCCAGACTTGACGGTCTCGGTACCCTCTGAAGCGGCGGAAGCAGCAGAGTCGGTGGCGGAAGAGGCACTGGCCTTGGCGGATTCGGTAGCATCTGCGGCGGACTTAGCGGCAACTTCGGAGGCGGCCATGGCCTGTTCAGCGAGCTTTTCAGTCGTACCTTCGACGGCCTCGCCAATGCTGGCCTCGGCCTTGTGTGATCCGTTCTCCTGGATGAACTGGACGAGGTCCTCGACAGTGCGGGAACCAGAGTAGTCAACTGGGGAGTCCTTCTTGCCAGCGGGGAAGAGCTTGATGGTGGGGAAACCCTGGATCTCATCGGGAACGTCGTTGGCGGTGGCGTCAACCTTGGCGATGGTCACAAGCTTGGAGAGCTCATCGGAAGCGTAGAGCTGGCCGAGCTCCTCGTACTTGGGAGCAAGAGCCTTGCAGTGACCGCACCAGGGAGCGTAGAACTCAACGAGGACGTCCTTGTCGTTGTTGAGGACGACATCCTTGTAGTTGTGGGCGACGATGGTGGTGACGGGGCCGTCGTTGGACTCGGGAATGGGCTCAGACTTGATGCTGGGCTCGACCTTGCCAGCGAGGAAATCGTCGACGAACTTGCCAATCTCCTTCTCGGTGATCTTGGCCTCCTGGTCGTAGGGGAACTTCTCGTTCTTCTCGGTGCGCTGAATAGCGAAAGCGGGCCAGGTTCCGACCTTCAGGTTGAGGTTACCAGCGTGCTGGCCGAAGGACTTGGCGTCGATGGTGGCAAAGTTGATCTCGCCCTTGTGCTTGAGAGCGAGGGGCTTCAGCTCCTTAGCGAACTCCTCGCGCTCCTCGGGAGTCTCAGCGAAGATGTATGCGAGGGGAAGGCCAGCGGCCATGTATCCGGCGTAGGTCTCGGGGCCGACCTCACCAATGAGAGGGGTAGAGGCGACCTTGGCGAAATCGCGGATAGCGTCCGCGTCGAAGGTCTCGGTGAAGACGTCCTTGCCGTCGTCGAAGGACTTGTAGAGGACGAGGCCGGGCTGCTTGACACCCTCAGCCTTGGCAAGGGCGGCGTCGTTGGTGGCTCCGAAGAGGAAGTTGTCGCGGAGACCGTTGGCGACCGAGGTGAAGGTCTCGTTGGAGGCCTTGTCGTCGGCGGCGAAGTAGGCGACGAGGACGACCTTGTCGGCGGTCTTGAACTCCTCGAGAGTGTCCTTTGTGACGTCGGAGACGGCGGGGAGAGCCTGCTTGGTCATGTACGAGATCAAGCTGTCGGCCTTGCGCTGTCCACCGTAGGGCGAGACATTCTCGGGGCCGCGGAAGACCTTGAGGGTGGGGTAGCCCTCAACGCCGTACTCCTGGCACAGATCCTGTTCCTCTGTGCAGTCGACCTTGACGAGAGCGATATCCTTCTCCTTAAGTGTGGTAGCCGCCGTCTCGTACTCGGGAGCAAGTGCTTTGCAGTGGCCGCACCATGGCGCGAAGACTGTAGGAATGGTTAGTTCTGCAATTGTGTATTTGAGGGCTTGAGTAATTCAGAACTGCTTACACTCTGCAAGGACGAGGTCGTTCTCCTCGATGAAGCTCTTGAAGTTGTCGGTCTTCAGTTGCTTGACATCAGATGCGGCGGCGACGGCCGCAAAGAAGGCAGCGCAGACAGTCGTGTACTTCATTTTGCTGTGCTTGTATGTGGTTGAAGTTGGGTAGGCACGACGAATTGGGGTAGAAGTAAGAGAGGACAGCGGTAGAGGAGCGCTTTATATTCCAAGTGGATGGCTGTGACTTTCGAGCAACTGTGTTCACACCAGCTTAGCGCTAGAGCGGCATGGTCCCTGCGCCTCCACCTATTTTCACCGCATTGAGAGACCACGTTGAACTTACCACCCACTGCACTTACCCGCCGCATGCCTGTACCCACCTTTGTCTAGCATTTCCCTAGCACTTTCGCCGCCGCCCCTCTACATCTCACTCACATCGCTTGGTCTCGCGACCGCTTGCAGTTAGCTTGCAGTTCCTGCCGATCCCAGTGCATATTATTAATCTGTGTTCACTTTCTACTTGCCATTCCCAACTGCGGCGAGTGTCAGCTTCTGAGGACAGGTGTTCCTTCACTCGGGTCATTCCAACCTGATTCATTCGGTGTGGCTCGTATCATTTCAATCGGCCCTCAACTAGTGGTGTACCCAGGTAGTCCTGGTAATGCCGACCGACCCGTGGGCAATCGCTTCCCTACTTGGCAAAAGTTCTAAAATGGGTTCGCTGGGTACTCACCAAATGTCCAAGGTCTGGAAGGCTCGCTTTTTATCAATTCTGGTGCATGGGGTACTCGCAATGTGTGTCGAGAGGAAACGTGGTCGTGTGAGATCTTACCGCGGAACACTTCCGTTCTTATCTTATCTAAAAAAGCACATCGCCATCACTGAACGCGAGATGTGTTCTTAGAACCGTAATCAACAACGAAATCAGAGTCAATTGATGATTACAAACCTACGCAGCAGTAGCGACCGTTTGACTTGCATCCTTCGCTTCATCTATCCCCGCCCCTTCCTTCAACTTGCGCATCCTCTCCTCCTCCTTCCTCTTCATCTCTTCTTGAATTCGCAATCGCTCGGGGATAACTGGTTGCCTCTTTCCAGTAATCTTGAACCCTTCAATCCGGTCCTTGCCCAACGCCTTCATGGTCTTGCGCTCCACCGCGCTGTAGTTTCCATCGGCACGATCAAACACAAAAGGCTCCTTGACGGACACCGGTGGGTTGGTAATGACGCGGACTTGACGAAGTTGGTTGTTGGACGCTGAGTGCAGCATCAGCGGATGCAAAAGGTAGACGTCGCCAACTACACCGGTGGCTTCCACAAAAGCCTCATCGGGCATACTGGCAGCTAGGTCGTTAAACCACTTCAGTCCTTGCTCTTGTACAAACTCTGGGTTTTGCGCTCTTGGCGTCATCCTTGGGCTGACTCCGTCAGGATTCTCGTATAGATGTTTCGCCACAGTGGGAATGGCGGCAGGACAAATGTAGGTTCCACCACCGCCTGGAGCGATGTCCGACCATAGCGGGATGACCAAAAGCGCTTGCTCAGGTGAATCGAGGTAGTGAACAAAGAAGTCTCCGTCGACGTGCCAGCCAGGTAGCTCTTGAGGGCGTACCACTTTGTTGTGACCCTCTGGCGTTCCGAGGTTTACGATGAAGCCATCTTTCCAAGTCGATGCGTTAGAGTCAACGCGGTCGCTGCCACCCACAAGGTTGCAAATTCCAGCCCAGGCTTTTGGTGCAAACTCTTCGACAGAGAATTCGTTGAAGAACGGCATGTTTGTTCGCTCGGTGTGCCTGTATCCGTCATGTTAATGTCTGTTAATGGCTGCACGTAAGAGACTCATAATTGAAGAAGAAAAGCGTACCATGTCGACTTATCTTTGGGATCCATACCCAATCGCGTCCAGAGCGTTTCCTGTAGTCCTTCTGCTTGTTCTCTTGTGAAGCAGTCGCTCAGCTTCAACCATCCGTTCTCCAGAAAGAAGTCGATTTGCTCTTGCGAGAGCTTGTATTGCTCCTCTGCGTTGGCCATTGTGTCGTATAATAGTTTACGTGAGTATTGTATGTACTGCGATGTTGTCTTCGTTTGGTGGATGTGGTATGATCGTAAGTCTTGTGTCTGATACAAGAGACAAAGTCAAGCTTATATGTCGTAAGTGAACATTTAAGAACGTATTTATGCGCCTGGGAATGGATATCCTATTACCGCCCTCACGCGATTCTTAACGCCACCGACGGTAGGCGTAATGCTGCTAACGGCAGTAATGCCAATTTATCCGGTGGACGATTAGCCATGTGCCCGTTCAGGGTGCTACACGTGCCGTCCCCAGAAGTGCAAGCCCTGGAGATATCCTGCGGGGCAAGCTGTTTGGGGAAGCCGGCGGGGAATCCTCTCGTACTAACGAGAACATCGGAAATCCTAAGGCCCGCTGTTACCACGACCTAGACCGAGTAGGAGAAAAAGCCAGGGCGCTGCGAAGACTAGGTTATTTCCGGGTATTGCAACTGTCCGAGAGGCACCAGCAACGGCCCCGTGTTTCTCCTCCGCGGACGCGCATATTTTGGTTTATTGGCTACAAACATCGCGGCAGAATTTTGACAACGGATAACGCGCTGCACTACGGCACGACGGATATTCTCCTTCGATGGCAGATGACTAATTCATGGGACTTGGAAGATGATTGCGATGGTTGGTATGCATATTACATTCTACATACAATATTTACTCTTACATCAGCATCGTCCGTCGCGGAATAGAGCACCGTTATTCATGGCATTACCGCGTCGCGCTCATTCAGGTCGCAGTCCCCCTAGTTTCCAGGCCACCAGATGTAGTTGTTAGTCTCCTCTGGCGTATCGAAGACAAGCTCACTGCTCGAGTTCACCGGCCTGTCAGGGAATGCGTTGGTCTCAATGTTCCAGATCTTCATATCGGAAGCCTTGACAGTAGAGTTGCTGCCAGCCCAAATGCTGAAGCCAGTGCTGTCGGTACGAGCAGGATAGATACGAGTCGTAAGCCAGAAGCGGTCGTTGACAAGGACTTCTACGAGAGATCCGTCAACGAAGATGTCCATGTGAAGAGACTCGGTGGTACCGTTGGAGAATGTGTATGGGTAGAAAAATCCGAGCATGGTGTAGTTGGCAAACTCAACGATGGAAGATGAGTGCGAGCGGTCAACGTTGATGGTGTAGTTCTCTGGAGAATACCAGACGATAGTTTGTTCCTCGTGTCCGGGTGATTGGGCGATGACAACACCGGCAGGTCCAGTGAAGTCAGAAAGCGAAACCTGGAGATGCATGTGACTGGTTCCATTGCCGGAGATCGCGCCGGAGACACAGGCATTGTCGCCAGTCTCGATGAAATGGGGCTCAGCTCCAGCGTGGAAGCCTTCCACAACCTCAGGTAAAGGACGAGCTCCTAGGGTGTATCCAGTAAAAGTACCGTTGCCGTGCTCTACAACACGAGTGTTGCCCTTCGTCGTCAGGCCGCCATCGGTGTTGACCAGGTCCTTGGTCTTGATGACATACATCTCTCGAGGAATCGCCATGGCACCTTGATAACCCATTTGGTTGATCGCAAAGTTGTTGCTCTCCTCGTTGGCCCAACCCCACTGGACGCGACGATCGTTCTTGGAGTCCCGGAAGCTAGTCACTGCGTAGAGAAGACCGGAGTCGATGGCACCGCCCGACAAGGGTGTGAACTCAGCAGAGCCATTCTCTCTTCTGGTGACCTGGCCCTCGTTCCATAGACCCCACTGTGCACGTGGATGCCAGGTGAGGTTGCCACCTTCTGTGCCCATCAACACGTAGTAATGTACGTCATCATCCTCATCGGTCAAAGAGAAAAAGTTCGATCTGTAAAATCAGTACGAGTGATTGCAGCGAACGGATACTTGCTTACACTTCGAAGTTGAAGCCATAGGTTCCGGTCTCAAGCAAAGAGCCAAGAGTCTCGTTCCTCTCGGGCTCCCACAGAGCGCCAAGGAAAGTCCAGTCTGTCAAGTTGCTGGCGGGAGCGCTGTAGAAGGGAATACGGCCACCGCCACCCTCGCCCTTGATGCCAGAACCAAGAACCATATACCAGTGGGGCTCCTCTTGTCCTAGAAGAGCATCCATCTCCGGCCAAGGCTCGACGAAAGGATCGCGCCATCCGGTGATATTCCATCCGCTGGGTGACTCAGTCATAATAGGGTTGCCAGCATACTGCTCCCAGGTTTCGCCGCCATCGTTAGAGATGACGATGCTCTGGCTCTCAGTTCCCTTGATATAAGGTAAGGCCCAGTTTGTGGGGAGGTATTGAACAGAAGTGTAGAAGGCGATGAGAGTACCGTCCTGCTGTCCTTGGAGATTCACGGGTTGAGCTGAGCCTGAGAATATGCCAAGACCATAGTAACTGCTGTTGTCCGAGTCAGGAAAAGGACCGGTGCCAACAGACTGGGCCTGATCATCTTCCCAACCTCCAACATCTGTCCAAGTAATCATGTCTTTGGAAGTTGCATGACCCCAAGAGATGTTACCCCAGTTGACGTGGTTCGGATGCCACTGGTAATGGAGGTGATATCTATCCGTGGTAGGATCGTACATCATTCCACATGCTACAGAAATAGAGATACAAAGTCAGTATTTGTCTCACATGCACTTCGTACAGCCAAAACTTACGATCGTTGAGCCATCCTGCCGGTGCGGAGAAGTGGTACGTAGGGCGCCATCTTGTGAAGAGAGTGTTGTTGCCCAAGCCCTCGATGATATCGGCAGTCAGTACAGCTGGGACCTCCTGCGCGCCGACGGCGGAGAGGCTGCCAAGCGCAATGCTCAGGAGAGGAAGAGATCGAAACATGATGAGCTTGCAGATCGATACTCAAATCCAACAGCAGCCATGTGAGGTTTATGTACTTTTCCGCAGTAAACAAGCAGGGTCCACCAAGATCATTTGTGATCAAGATATTTGAGTCCAAGAGCTTGCGCCCCGAGCCTATGGTCTGGGCTGGCGCAATCCCGAAGCTGGGTGCAGTAGCTTGTTGACGATCCCCGCAAATTCGGCACCAGCTCTCCATGTTCCCCACAATCGGTACTGGAAAGAAGAAAGTGTCGTTCTCGAACATGCATGGAGAGGCTGGTATGCGCCACTCGGTCATCTCTTGCACGTTTGCTAACGTGATGTGACATAGCAGCGAGTCTCGAAGTCCGGGAGACTCTCCGATGAAGCTTGTGATACCTGCGCCTGGTCCAAGTCGAGGAAGACTTTTCTTGTATACACGACGTGGCTTGGCTGGAAATTACCGACAACGGTCCTTAGTAAGTAAATGGGTTGTTATGCTACCGAGTATTCTCCCGAGATCCAAGTCTTACTGCGGGGATAACCAAGGGCTTGACTATGGAGAATACGGACGACATCGGACTCTTTGGGGTAGCTTCGGAGTGTGCAGCCCTTGCGCAGGAACGCTCGTGCGGAGGAACGAGCAGTCCCATGGAAAGGCGGCATGGAATGGGGTACCATAGATGTCGAACGCATAAGCGCTATTGCGTGCCACGATACGTAGGCATGGTACATGCATCTCCCAGCATTTTGTATCTTCTGGAGGTAGTAGTGCAGAGTAGTATCATCTGAGATATACTGATGAGCGATGCTTGTCAAGGGGAACCCACGCGAGTGTGTGGGTGAATGAGGTGGAAGTCGCGATCTCGGGAGACCGTGGCGGGCCTGCGAGACGTCATTGCTGGCGGGCGAATCAGGTCGCTTCCCTCCAAGCCTCCACGTTTCCTTTCTCCCAGCACCGCCGCATCACGCGAACGCGACTCTTCCCCGGTTGTGTTCGCTCTCATCACCCTCAGATGGGGACACGCATTCCTTTCTAGTCGCCTTGCACCTTCACCACCGCACCATGAGTCGACTCAAGCTCTACGTCGCAGGCTCAGCCGCCATGGCCAACATTGTGCTGATGCGCGCATACTACGAGCGCCCCAACTTCTACTCGGCCGCCGTCTACATCTCCCAGAGCACCGGCTCGCTCATGTTCCTCGTCAACCTGATGCTCATCGTCGCCGCGAGCTTCGGCTATGGACTCCAACGCCTCTTCTACGGCCCCCTCCGCCCCATCGAGACCGAGCAGCTGTACGACAAGGCCTGGTTCGCTGTGAGCGAAACATTGCTGGCCATGACTATCTTTAGGGATGATCTCGGCATGTGGTTCTTCGCAATGTTCCTCTGCTTGCTTGCAGGCAAGGTCTGGCAGTGGATCGGAGAGGGGAGAGTCGAATTCCTCGAGCAACAGCCTCCGGCAAACCCCAAGCTCTTTCATTCGCGCCTCATGAGCTCCTTGCTATTGTCTGTTGCCTTCGACATCTTCATGATGCAGTACTGCATCGATTCGATCCTGTCAGAGGCACGGCCGGGTGTCATGGTCATGTTTGGCTTCGAATACGTCCTCCTGGCCACAGCATCGATATCGACCCTACTACGATACGCACTGTCGCTCGTCGAACTATACATTACACACCGCCAAGAGAAAGCACGAGAGGAGGCTCGTCGTATCGCAAGGGAACAAGCACGCCAGCAGGCTACAGCAGAAGGAATTGAAGCGCCTGCTGAGGCAGACGACGATGAAGACGAGGGCGACGTGCCCGGATGGGAAGAGAAGGGTCGCTGGGTATTCTACTTGGATCTCGCGACCGACTTTGTCAAGTCCTTCGTCTACCTGGGCTTCTTCGTCATTTTGATGACTTTCTACGGCATACCAATCCACATCATGAGAGACTTGTTCATGACCATCCGATCCCTCCTCAAGCGTATCCACGACTTCATCCAGTACCGAAACGCGACCCGCGACATGAACACACGCTATCCAGATGCGACGGCAGAAGAACTCGAGCGGGAGAACACATGTATCGTCTGTCGCGAAGAGATGCGGCCGTGGACACAACCAGGCGCAGATGGTGCACAGCCAGGTCGAAGAATGGATGAGCGACAACGGCCGAAGAAGCTCCCCTGCGGCCACATCCTACATTTCGGATGTCTCCGTAGTTGGCTTGAGCGACAGCAGGTCTGTCCCACGTGCCGAAGGCCAGTACTCTCATCGGCGACGACACAAACTACGCAACGCAACAACCAAGCCAACCCGGGCGAGCAAAACCTCCAGAACCGAGAGGCACTGCGAGCAATGTTTGGAGGGAATGCGCAGCAAGGTGCTGTCGGAGGGCAACAAGGACAAGGCCAGGGCCAGGGTCAGCAGGCTGCACCGCAAGGTGGACAAGCAAATCCTCCAGCAGGTAACATGCGCGTGTTCAACTTCGGGCCATTTCGGATCGCTCTCGGGAACATTCGCGTACCACCAGGACAACAGGACAATGTCGCTGTGCAGAACGCGATTCAGCGACTGCGCGAGCAAGCCAACGGAAACAACGCGGCGCAGAATCAAGATCATCAAAACCAAGCACAGGGCCACACGGGCTTCACGCCATGGGCTACTCCCAACCTTCCCACCGGCCCCATCCCCGGAGCGGTCGCGCTGCATCCGTCAGATATTCAGTCCGACATATTGCGCATACAACAGAACATCATTGAGTCGATGCGGCATCTCAACGCACAACACGAGCAACTTGAGGCTGTCCATAGACTTCTTGCTGAGCTCAACAGACTTCAGCAGGCTTCAGGCGTGGCTGCCGCGACAGGCCAAGAGCTACCACCTATTGCCCCATTGAACCCACCTAACATGAACTCGTTCGTACCGCAAGCCTACTTCGCCAGAGGGTCCGTTCTGCGACAGGGCGATCCCGGTGTGCCTGAAGGCTTGACGCTACCGGAAGGGTGGACATTGAGGCCGATGGCACTAGCGCCACGGAATAGCCAAGAAAGCGCGACACGTCCATCCTCGCAACCTGGACATCCGGCGCCAGAGAGTGGCTCGATACCGCCTCAACTTCAGACAACACAGCCAGTAGCGGAACCTGACGCAGGGCCTTCGACGTCCGCTCCCGCGGCCTCACCAAACCAGCCAGCTTCATCGACTCCAAACCCGACTACTTCCGATGAGCCCTCCAATCGTTCGCCGAAGCCTGCAGAGCCTAGCTCTCTAGAGTCAAGCTGGAGCTTTGGTAACGTAGGAGAGAGGACTGAGGCTGAGGGTTCAAGCTCTGCGGTTGCTGGAAGCAGCTCTGAGGGCCAGACTGCAACAAGGCGGACTGTTACTGTTGAAGATGTCGAAGACGGCGAGCAGTAGCTGGACGATGGGCGATGACACTGTTACGGTTCTGTATTGCATAGCGAGGCGTTCGGGTTTGTTGATTATTCTTGAGCGACAGGGAGTCGCATGTGTCAATGAAGCACGACAGGGAATCCCTGCGAATGCCAATTCATCACACCGGTCGGTGCTCCACCGCGTTTCTCGAGTGTACATTTGATTGTATCACCATCATTGAACAAAACAATGAAGCATGCCTTGTTAACCATTCATCCTGTATGCACCCCGCACGCACATGCTCTTCAACTCGCAGGAATCCAGCCCCCGAGACGACACTGGACGATGGTTTGATGCACATTCGAATGCACATGTACATGCACGCACTCGGCCCTCCACTACCAGACCCACAAAGCTTATCGATGCCGGCCTAGCCTGCCCCATCCCGTCTTCGCTTGCCGCTAGCGCGAAACACGTGTCCAGTCAAACCTCGACTGCCTCCCAAGACACCATATCGAGGCGGCTACGTGCAGGTTGTGAACAGCACCAGGTTGAAACGGCGGCCTAGGCGGTGCGAGGACGGTGGGTAGCACCCAGTAACAGCTGCAGGAACGCAAGCCCTGCGACACACTTGCAAGCCCTCGAGGGCGTGTGCAGACCAGGGTCGGGCTGCCAACGGAATAAGTGTAAGGGCCCCCGTCTTGGGCGAGCGTGTTAACGGCGACTTGACTCGACTTAACACGACTTGAGGTTAACGTTGTGATTTGGCTTTTTGGATGACTCTTCATTCACTCTCGCTAATGGATGCTTAGACCGCACTTTGTTTATTGCAATTTTGTATACCTATCGTCCTTTTCTCTTCCCTTCTCTTCAGTTCCATTTTGCTTTGCATCTTTTCCTTGTTCGTTGTCTTGCGTTTTAGCGATGGCGGTCAAGTTAGACCATGCGCATGTTGCGCGTAGGCCTGAAGAGGCCGAGGTATCTACATGCGTCTCAGGCATCATAGAAGCTTTTCAAAATGGACTGGATATCTTCAAAAGCTTGCGCGAAAGAAGAAGAAAGCGCAGATCAAAGAGAGATACCGACACGCCTGATTCAACAAGTACTGCCGAGCACCAACTCTCAAAAAGCTTGCGCAGAGGGCCAGAGGAGGTAGCCGGAAAGTATACTGAATGCTACTACAGCGGCATCGGGCCGCGATTCGCAAAGGGCGATGGTAAGTATGAAGTCCACCCAACACATAAGCCGTACTAACGTAATGCAGCTATCGCGCACCAGTCACTCGCAGAGACATTGATCAAATTAAACACAGGCCTCGTTGCCATCATCGCAGCGTTCCTGAACCATGACGCGCAAAAAAGCGGAAAGGGTCACCTAGACATAGACTACAAGTCGTTGACCCACCTGTCCGACGCATCGCGGCGTGAAGCAATACAAAGCCTTACCCAGTTATATCAGCGACTAAGCCAATCTCAACTCCAGCTGCATAACATTGGCGCTCCACCGTGCCCGCGATGTGGCACAAGCAAACACCACGACTGCTCCCCTCGCAGCACTAGCCCTGAGAAGGAGAAGAAGAAGTCGAGCTCCACTCGTCAACGTTCCTCGGGTCATGTAGTCACACGCATGCCCATGAAGAACCGAAGCTCGAATGAACCCCGGC